AGTCAAGGAGACAAATTGAGGGTCAGAACAATATTGTTACCTAAATGATAAATGGATTAGTAATAGGAAGAAGAGGACAGACAGACATGGATCAAACCTGAAATAATGACATAGAAGAAAGGGTTGAAATAATTTGTGGCTATAAAAGGAAGAGAAATTAGAAGATAACAGTTAAGGGTCTTAAGATGAAAGCAGCAAGAGGAAAATTGGCATATCTGAGTTAGAAAATAGAACAGATGGGACAGAAAAATACTTACAGAAATTACAAAAGCTTCTGAAATAACTGATTTTTATGGCTCAAAGGAACATACGATCTTCCAGGAAAAACCTGGATACAGAAACCTCAGGGCCAAAGTTTACATTTCCTGAAAGTTAGAAGATATATTCTGCAAGCATGTTCCTCACACATAAAAACAAATCACCTACAAGTAGGTCAGAATTCTCCAAGGCAACAATCAAAGCCAAAGACAATGGAGCAAGGTGTGCAACATTCTGAAGAAAAAGAATGACTCAATAATTTTACATAATTATTAGTTTAAAATTTAAATATGAGCAAGCTAAAAAAAAGAACACTATCACTCAGAAATAACTACTACTGTTTGGTCACATTCCCATTACTTTTCCCTCTGTGTGCAGGGTCAGGTTAGGGCCAGCATGGGCAGGGGTGTCACCATAATGAGTGATTACATTGTTACCATTTTGAAAGTTACATGATTGCAAGTAAGTTAAAATGTCCCACAACACATATCTAGCCTCCAGTCTTCATTTTATGCTTTTATATGATGTCTATAGAATATTTTTGTATTTTATTTAATGTACATAAATAGTATCTTGCTGTACATATCATTTTGTAACTTGCTTTATTTTTTAACAAAAATTTTTAGATCTGCTCTCTCTGATACTGATTAATGTCCTTATTATTTAGATATATTTTATTATATCATGCAAAGTCTAAGCAATTTCAAAGAATCTTTCTAATTTTGTTAGTTTCAACAAACAAAACTGTGTTGGATATCCCCAGGTGTCTTCATGTATAAATGTAAACATTCCTGCAAGGTAAACATCAGAAGTAGAATTTCTGAATTGTGGGACTTGTGCATTGTTTAGTTTGTCCCAAGCCTGTTAGATCCAACCAAATTGTCAATAAGGTGTAAGGGTAACAGAATGTTTCAAACGTTAAGATCACAGGCATATGCTTCCGAGAGAAGCATCCATTTCAACCAGACTTTCAAACTTATTTACATGAAGTTTGCAAAATGTTCTCTTATAAGTCATTATGATCCTTTTTCAAATTTTCTTTAAGTATAAAAAGCATGTAATAGTTCTACTAGATGACAAATAGGCACTTGGTAAAATTCAATCCTGAAAAAAAGGAGCAAATAACTTTTAGCAAAACAGGAATGAATGAATATTTTCTTAACATTAGTTTGAAAAATATAAATCATTCAACATTAAATGTTTTCTCATTAAAATAATAAATACATGACATCTAGTTTCATTATCATTTTTCTGTTTTAGCAAATTCACTTAGACAAAGAAAGCAACAAAGAGGAAGCAAAATACTGTATGTCAAGAAAACCTGACGAAAAACAAACTGAAAATCCTGTTCAAAATGTTAGCAGAATATGATAAGGTGGCTTATTATGTAATTAAGTTAAGGGCATAAATAATAGGGAATATGAAGAGAAAAGAATTATTTATAATCAGATCCAAAAGTGATAAACATGTATAGGAAAATTAACAATATTATTTAAATACAAAAGATTTATGTAAAATTAACATTAAAACTGGCCAAAGGATGTAGAAGGAGACATGTAAATGTATATGTTATTGTAATAGGAAAACTCTAAAATGTTACTTTTTCTAAATTAATCTCTCATAAATATCAACTAGAAATCAAGGTGTCATTTTTAAAATTTGACACAATGGCAAGTCTGCCTAGAAAAACAAACTTGTAAGAATAGCCAGAAGATTCCAGGGAAAGGAGAAAAATAACCAGTCAACATATGAAAACAGATTTTTTTTTAAAGATTTATTTATTTATTTATTTATACAAGCACTGGGTACAGTCAGAAGCGCGGGAGGGTGAGAGAATTCACCAGAGACAGAGCAGGGAACAGAACAGGCAGACTGACCAAGGACATTGCTGAGGGGAGCAGCAGGTGCGGCAGGAGAGGTCTGTGCGCCATGTGGGACCCTCGCCCGTGGCCGGGAATTGTACTGGTACTGCAGAGCTGTGGGAAGCTTCGCAGCCCAGCGCTCAATTTCTGCGCCACGAGGGGAGGCCCAACATATGAAAACAGATTTTGAAGCTATGGAAATCAAAGCTGTTTAGAACTGAAAAAGAAATAGACCAATGGAAAAGAATATTCCAGAAGTAAATTCAAACTCATAAACATTTGGATCTCAAAATGAATCATTTCAAATTACTGTAAGAAAAAATATGATAAATGACCAAGTTAGTCAAAAGAACAAAACCTTCTGAAAATAGTCTCAGCAAAGAATACAAACAGGAATTTCATAGAGAAACAAATATATCCCATATATGGAGATGGATCGTGGATGCTATGGTGGAGGGAGAAGCACAGGTATAACACCTATGGGGAGAAATCAAATGCTGTCCAAAAATGAACAACAATGCAAGAAAAGAAATTTTTAAAAATCTGAAAAAAATACAAATGGCAAAGAAACATGGAAAACAAATACTCTATCACTTATCATCAAAGAGAAGCCAGATAAAATGAGGTACTACTTTTTCCTGTATCTGATGGCAACATTTGCAGTGTTTGCTAAAAGTCATTGGTGGCCAGGGTGAGCAGGAGCAGAAACAGAAGCTCATGTTGTTGATACAGTGCAAACCAGTACACTTCTATCCTTTATATTTATATCTATGGGAAATATTTGGCAATATTTCTCAACAGAAGGAAAAGGAACATGTCCTTAAATTTAGCAGCCCTATTACTGAACATTTACTCTCTGGATATATTTGTAAAAATATGAAAATTACAAATAAAGTATGTTCATTAAAGAGCTTTTTTTTTAATAAAATACTGAGACAAAATTAAATGTCTGCCATAGGGTCAGGTTAAAAAAATTACAGTACAGTCATACCATCATTGAGTCATACGATCTCTGAATTATTACAGAGAACAAGACAGATCTATAATTGCACATGTCGAAAGAGCTCTGGGATTTATTATTTAGTGAAGAAAGGAAACTGGTGGGAAAGATCATACATAGTGCAGAGTCCCTTTGTATAAATGAGTAAGAGATCGCGACATGGGTATAGGGATGAAACAGGTATAGAGATCAAGTTAGGCACAATATAGGCACAATAAGAATTTCCTAAGGATCACAGAAGGATATTCAGTGATTGTTTATTGGAAGGCTACGGAAGCATTTTTCTTTCCTTCTATGCCTGTGTGCATTTGTAACCATGTAACCATGCACACACTTGAGTTATACAAATCACTTAATCTGTTGGCACTCCAGCTATATCAGTCCTGCCATCAGCCACTTCTCTTTCTCTGTGGTAGAGGGAATGCATGTCAGCCCGTTCATGGCTTTCTTGGCAGGCAGAAGCAGTCAAGAAGGTAGAGAAGAGCAGGCCTTACTCATGTTACTAACACCGGTGTCGCCAGAGTCCTGAGTGCTGGTTGTGCTGAGTGCCTTCCAGGCATGTGCTCAGTTCATGCTCACAGGGACTCATGAGACTGATAGTATTTTTCATTCCCATTTAACAAAAGAATTTCACCATTTGGAGCAAATAGGATGGATGGGAAAGACAATAAGTCAGTTACAAAAGACAAATACTATATATACGATTCCTCTTTGATCAGGCATCTAGAACAGTGAAAGATCCTGAAGGAGACAGTAGAATGATGGTTTCCAGGAAATGGAGGGGCAGTATGAGGAATTAGTTAATTGGTAAAAAAAAAAAGGGTTATACAACATGAGTAAGTTCCAGAGATCTTCTCTACAACACAGTGCCTGTTTATAGCTTGGACTTAAAGATTTGTTCTGAGTATAGATTTCATGTGGAGTGTTCCCACCCCCAAAACAAACAAAAAATGGAATTAAGAAAACTTTTGGAGCTGATGGATATGTTTACTACCTGGATTGTGGTGATGGTAGCATAAGTGTGTGCATATTTCCAAACTCACCAAATTGTATATATTAATTACATGTGGTTTCTCTATGCTCATTATATGTCAATAAAATTGGGGAGAAAAAGAGTGTACTGACAATTATAGGGATGTATTTACTTGCTCAGACCCCTACCCTATCTATCTTACCCACCAAGAGGCAAGTCAGGGTTCAAACACTGGTGTGCCTAACCCCAGCAAAAGCCTTTGATACCATCACACTATCTCCACCACACTCTTCACAACTCTGGGATAAGTTACATAGGCTCCGGGGTCAAGGCAGAACACCATTTAGGACTCTTTCTTACAGGGAAATGTAAGAATTACTCAAATGGACTTGAGGAAATACAATACTTTTATAAACCAAGGGCCTCTGAACTTAATGTTCTTTTCTCTTTAATAATAGATGTACAGCAGGAGTTCCATAAGTACTTTTCTGACTCTTGATTGCTTTCTCCAAATAATTTCTGATTGCTCACTTTTATGGCTGTCAGGACTATTTTTGCTACTTCAAAAGTGTATTTTTGGAATTACTCATTTTGCTGCTTTTCAGTTACTAAGATTTGACATGATGACTCTTAAAGTTGATAATAGTCCCAGGCAAGTCACTCTGTTTCTCTCATAGCGGATATATCGCTCATACAGCAGAAGTGAAGTGATTGGTGGGTAGTTTATGCTGATGATGGGGTTTTAGCCTATGAGTTCATCAAACTCCTAACAAAAGTGAAAGGGGGATTTCCAGATTATACATTTTACCTTTTTATGTTTTTTCCTCTTCCTCATCTCCTTCTTTATCCTTTGATGAGGCCAGTAGTAATCTTCCCTATGACTAATAATAATCATGACAGTACTTACAGAGTGCCCATCTGAGCCAGGCATTGTTGCAGGAGCTTTATATTCAGTATCATTTATTTCTCTGCAGAGAGGCAAAATAGAGAAGCTGCAGCCTACACTTCTGCTACTAGTAATGTTATTTGTAACTGCCATCTGGGAGTTCTATGAGGTGGTTCTATCCACTCCATTTTACATATCTACAAAGTCTCAAAAGTTGCTCCCAACATTATATGATAGTAAATAGTGTCTTTGGAATTCAAACATAGACCTATTTATTGGACTGAAAATCCCTTGTTCTATCCATGGATTTCTGTTCCAGATAGAGTTTCAACGGGGCCATCTTACACAATAAGGTTTAGTAATATCTAGAAAGGTGCTGGCCCCCTTTCTGCTCTGCTTCCTGAGCCCTCATTGGGCCATACACATCTGTGTGCTATTGATGGATTCTCTACCTTCTGGTGGTGAGGCAAACAGCTTCTGTCTACACCTTCCTGTTTGCTGACTGGAGGGGAAATTTTCAGAGGCTTTGTAGTCAATAAGAGAGAGCACAGGGAAGACTTTTGGGAGAAAGAGGAAAAGACTATTCACGGGAATTCCAGTTGTTTCCCATCACTGCTGGGGTTTGAGTCTATCATATCTCCCTGAAATATACTCTCTCCTAAGAGAGCCATGGTGAGCTCCAGTCCTGGCGTTTGAGTGACCCTCACCATACCTTCATAGATGCGTGGAAGGGGCAATTGCCCTGTTTTGGAAAAAGCAGAGGGTGTGAAGCTAGATAAGACTAACTCAAATTTGGGCCTCCCTGGTGGCGCAAGGGGTTAAGACGCAACCTATGAAGCTGTCCACAGCCTTTGCAGCACTAGTTCCATCCCTTGTCCATCCAGGGAGCTACCCACATGGCACATCAGGCCACTCCTGGCTCGCCCACTGCTCCCCTCAGCAGTGTACTTCGGTCAATCTGTATATTCTGTTCCTCACTCTGCCTCTGGTGAATCCTCTCTCACACACACGCACCCCAACACCTCTGGCCTATACCTCAGCTCTTGTATGCATAAATAAATAAACCTTTAAAAAATAAGACTAACTCAAATTTTCAATCCTGTACTTAAGGTCTGTCTAACTTTAGGCAAATTTTCACTTTCAGATGTAGTTTCTTTATCTGTCTAATGGGGATAATAATAGTTATAGCCAAGAGTGTGCAATGTGGACTAAATACTCAAGTATGCAAAATTTCTTCAAATAAGAATATTTGCCATTTGATATGAAAGCCAGAATAATTCTAGGAGAAATGTTAATTTGCTTAAATAAGTTTCCAAACAGATGGAAGAGAAACAAATGTACTTAGGTAGAGACAAAGCACCAGATGACAAAATTTATCTTGGCACTCAGATCTTATGTGTTTTACTTTTGTTATAATTTTCATATGGGTTTTAGCAATGCAGTGATATCATTAGGCACTAAAATTAACTCACGAAATGCAAAATGAGAGTGTTTTAAGAAGAAAAAATGAAATTGGTGTTGCAGGAGGAATTAAGATTTAAAAACAGCTTGAGCATTGGCAAGTTTTATTAACTAGGTTCATATAATGATTATTTTATAGGTGGAAAAGGTGTTTGAACAGCACCTGCAGTGGTAGGTTCGATGAAAACTCAGCCATTTAGAACATGCACCAACATACAGTTGTAAGACCCACACATGCCACTGTTTGAAGCAATTTCTGCAGGATTCATCTAGTGAGGCAACCTCGCAGCAAGTTTTGCAGTATTGTAGCATCTATGAAAAGAGATGACATTCGAAACTAATGATGCCAATCAGAAATGTATTTATCAGTAGAGTCAGGAAGATCTCCTTTTAGTAAAAATGTATGAACTAAAAAACAGAACTGTAAGTCTAAGAAGTTTATCAGTAACCACGCTCATTTTCTATCCTAGTTTCCTGCAGTATATGCCCTGGTAGTTACAGAATCAAGAGTATCATTGATTACCCCTCAGCTACTGACAGTCATTTAATTCTCAGAGCAAATATGAACTTGCATACAGTATGTTTCTTTCTATCAAAATCTTCAAATGAAGAGAGAAAAACCTCCTGGACAAAAATGAATTTTCAGTGTGAAATAGAAACACTGCTCAATTTTGTCAGTCTGCCTGTTCTGTTCCCCGCTCTGTCTCGGGTGAATCCTCTCACCCTCCCGCACAGCTGGTCTGTACCCTGGTTCTTATATAAATAAATCTTAAAAAAAAAAAAAAACACTGCTCAATTGCCTTTCTAAAAGGCTAAACCAAACACACTTGCAAAGAACCCCCACAATGGTGTTAGAGTACTGTTTCCTCACTGTACCCAAAATCCAAGGACATAATGGCAAAGATTCACAGATTTGACTACCTATAAACTAAAACTGCTATATAGTCAAAGATGCCATAATTCAAGTTGAAAATAGTGATAATGGAGATTTTTGAAACATATGTAAGACAAGATCAGTCATCAGATAGAGCATTCCCACGAAGTGATGTCAAAAAGACAAATGACCTTATAGAAAGTATGCACAGGCCATGAAGAGGCAGGGCGCAGAGGAAGGAGTGACAAGCGTTTGTAAAGATTCACATCCTTCCTAGACACTAGGAAAATACAGATTGAAACCATATATTTTGAGGGGCTACCAGATTGAGAAATTATAAGCTTCTATTGCCTGCTTTTTTTTCCTCACTTGTCTTTACTTTTTTTTAATTACTAGACGTTTCGGGAAAATTCTCCTTCCTAGGTCTCAACTCTTGTGTTCCTCAAACTAAGGAATACTTACTCCTTGATGCTGGCCCTCAGGCATACCCCATGTTATCCAGCTGTCACTTGCCCCACTCTCTTCCTCCCTTTTGCTTCAGGAGAAAGAAGGAAGGTTTGGCTCACAGTTTTCAGTGCATCTTTGGTGGGGAGTCCGCTGCTCCTTCACAGCTCTCAACAAGAAATCCTGGCCCATGCTGCGTTTTGTGAATTTAGTCTCTTCTGAAGATCAGAAGGCTGTGGGGGAGGAGACATACCCGCACCACACAGCTTGGATCACCTCAACTGCCTTTCCTCTCACTTGTCCGCGTACCTGCTCACCTCACACCTTCACACCTTCCAGCGTGTGACCTGCTGTGGAGTGTAACCCCGCCCCACTCCAGCTGCTTCTCTTACCAGATAGGACTCTACCAAGGGAACTTCCTTGCCCTGTCCTCGCTCTGCTCCCTACCTGCCCCCAAATTTTAGCAAGTATACTCTCCCTCATATTTATGTACACAGTGGAAATTTAAAGAGATTTATGATTGGTTGACTGAAAGTATACATACACGGGCAGCTGAAACAGGAAGGAGAAAAATTCCACTGACACAGAACTGTTGCAGTTTGGCAGCATCACATGGCAGCACCTGACAAAGGCAGTGGGGAGATGGTACATTTTCCTGCTGCAGTGGGGCAGCTCTAAGTCAGGACCCTGACCTGGAGAAATAAGCCTTACAGCCTTTTACAAAATCATGATCACATATTATTATTCTACTTTCACATTTGGTTACACATTGCCTCTTTATTGGCTCTGAATAATTTAAGTATGAGACTTGTGATAAAAGGCTGACTTAACTTCTTTCCATTTCTGCAACTGTGTGCAGTGAAGCTTTATTGGTACTTTAAGATAGTTCTAACTCTAACCCAGGGGGGAAATGGCACTATCTAAAATAATAGAGAATGATTTAATCTTTTCAACTTTAATTCTTATTCCCAGCTCTTTCATTGTACAAGAAGAGCCCAAAGCCTGAAGATTAAATTGTAGTATTCTTTCTCCTTTCTGTTTGTGCATATTGTTGGAGTGTTTCAGGGTAGCTCGTAGCTAGAAACAGTGCCTGTACAACCCACCTTTCCAGTACCTGTACAACCCACCTCTCATGCATCTATTCAATATATAATCGTCATCCTAAGTTCAAAAATATTTGTTTCATTCGGGGGAATTTCAGAAGTTGTTATTTTTAAAGTAATTTTTTGTGTAACCTACTCACTTAACATGTTTGCAATTTTAGCCAAGCGATATATCCAAGAAAGTCACTGTATGTGCAAAGTGGATTTCGAAGAGGGGATGTGGGGGGAGGCAGAGGGGATACTGGGGGGTAGTTTAGTGGAGGGTGAGTGGAACATATGTAAAAAATGTAACCTCAAAATTAAAAAAAAAGAAAGAGAAAAGTATTGTTTAAAAAAAGGAAAGTGCTCAAGAGGCAGGAAGAGGCTGCATCACGCATCCCTGATGGGCTCTAACTCAGTGTTGGTGATAGAAGGCTGTTTTAACTTCTTTCCATTTCTGCAACTGTGTGCAGTGAAGCTTTATTGTCTGGACTTTTCCCTCATCTCTGATTTCTGCAGAGAGGACAACCTGGAAGAGAAAAAGTTCATTGTTCATTATATTTTGCTTTTAATGTGGTTTCAATCTCATCAAACACCCACGTGTATCCCACGAAAGGGAAGACATCCCCTTGGTCCTAGGAGTACTCCTGAAAAAAAAAAAAAAAAAGGCCAGACAGGCTGGAATTCAAAGTCCAGCGTGAGGTCTGCATTCAGCTGAGCCAAAGAAGCCAACACTGACTTCCATTTTACTCTAGAAAGAGGTTGTTTGGGAGTGCCACCAAGTTAATGGCCAAAGGGAAGAAAGAGTCAGTAGCAGGTACCTGTCTTAATAGAAGGGCATTTGGAGGGCAAAACCATTGAATCTGCACAAACATGAAGGAGTTGTTGCTAAGCTGGAATGTGGCTTCATTCTTGTAACTTTAACAGTCTTGAAACTTTAACATTTGCGCATGTGCTCTATTCCAGTTGACCTATGGGGGGGGGGAACACTGAGGGGTGAAAAGTCGGTGGGCCAAAATGAAAGAGACAGAAAAGTCAAGCAGACACCCCAGGATTTTAGGGTATACTGCTGAGCCAAGAGAAGACGGCTGAGCCACATGCCCATGGTGCTGACATGTGGTGTTCACCTTCTTCTAGTCAAGGGGTGTCAGACTGTGAGGGCAACCTGGAGAGACTGTGTGTCTTTGCTTTCAGGACAGGA